CTAAAAATTTGTATCTTAAATTATTTGAAAGTTCATAAACTAATTTGCTTACTTACTGTGCATTATGCCACTGTGAAGAAAATTGATTTAATTTAATTCAAGAAACTTTTGTTGCCGCTGCTTACTTTCAACTTGGCAACAACAACAAAAACACTTTAATAATATCGACATTAATAACAATCTTACTAAATAGCTCTTTATCTCATTGTGTATTGTTGATTTTTTAAATAAAATGCGTTCAGAGAACTCGCAACACATCACCGGCCAGTAATGGACGAGGATTCAACGAGTTCAAAGTATCTCAGTGAGTGGCTGACAACTACTTCAAGATAACATATTTGTTTTTATTAAGTAATTTAACTATTTATTTGAATAAAAAACAAATCGAATGATGTGAAAATATGTGTAGGTGTCTTAAACTTGTAAAATATTGCGTAAAGTTTGTGGTGATAATGTATAATCCGGAATCTAGAATAAGAATATCAGTGTTATATTTGTTCAACGAAAATCAAAGCTGATGTTGCACTTATAAACTACTACACTTAGTGGGTATTACTCTAAAGACATTGATAAAATGTTGTTAGTTTTGGACAAATTAATAATGTACTTATATAGTTTATTATATAATTTGATGTACTACATTATTTTTGTATTTCATTTTCGAGTATTCCATACAAATACACCGTTTAATAAACTAGTTAATTTAATACCAACTGATTACCACTGATAATCTTAAAAAGTCAAGCTCATAATTACTAACTCCATAGTGATTGCCTAGATTCGATCCAATTTAACAGTAGAATGAAATATTTAATATGCACGTATCTGCACATACCTTTTCATCTATAGAATGTGATTATTTAAAAATCAAAGTAAAATATCCATACGCAGCAAGAGTAAAGTAAGTTTCTTATACAATCAAAAATACTATTAAAACGATTATCCTATAACTACATAGTAAGCAGAACATTAGAAGTAGATGTTTAAAGTTAGGAATTTCAAGCAGGGTGCAGGACTCTTTTACCGACTTTCTACCTCTTTTTATATGCAATACTCCGGACCCCTCGGAGATGATGGGAGTCCTGTCGTATATTTATGATTGACTAATTTTTGTCATGGGCTAGGACACTTTCGAAGTTCACAACAAAACGAACGTATACCTTCCTCATGTAGCTTCAAACTTTAAAGAAAAAGACTCCCGTATCACACATTATATACGTTGATCTATTTTATGGTATGGTATTATGTTAATAATTAATTCAATATTATTGCCGTCGAGTACAAGCATGTGTTAATTATTTTCCATACGGAAGCAGTACCTTTTTAAAGATCACGTTAGTATGGCAACATCAGGTCTTTTCAAGAAACATTACAAAGCACATTTCCTATACAGCAAGTACTGTTGTATCCCAAATAAGGTCAGGATACATTTACGTGCTAATCAGGTAGTAGTTGTAAGTTATAAATATAGCAATTCCATAACTAATTCAAACGCAATAAATTTTTAGCTCTGTATGATTGAAGTGGTAAGGTTTTTTCACCTCGACCACGGCTTGATTCAAAAGATAATAGGCCACATCATTTATCACATCCCTATTCTCATACAAAACACCTTTTTCCCTCAACAACTCTCCATCGCAATCCACGTATTTGGTATGTAATTCTCTCATGTCTTTTGATATATATCCATGGGAATTATAATAACAACAATCAAAACTAAAATTACTAAAAATTGCAGAGAAAAGTTCATTTTTCTTGATAAAGATAATTCTGTCTAGAAATATGCAAAAATATTACTGCATAAATTAGTGATGCTAAGTTATATCAAACTCATTATTTTTTCTAAAGTTTATACAATAAATTAAACGGGACATATAGATGGAATTTATGCCTACAACAACATTGCCGTGTATTATCTTGAATCAACATCCAGAAAGAAAAAAGACCAAGGAGTAACGGCCTTGAGTAACTGAGTACCGGTCTATATAGAGGCTTTATTTTTCTAAAGTGTGACTAATTTTATTAAATATAATTATATGATTACATATATTTAAAAATATGTTTAATATATTAGTATTAAGCGTAGTTGAAGAAAAATATTTGAAAATCTTAAAATGAATCGCCTAAGTCATTAATAAATTACCTATTTAATTAGCGTTCGAATTCAATTATGTGCTAAATTATCATAATAATCAGCTAATCAAAATAAACAAAACAATTATACAGCAAATTAAAGAAATTTTGTTTAGACAAGAAGAAAACAATTTTTAAATATTTAATTAAATATTTTAAGTGCTTTTGTTTAACTTGATTGGTTTTAAATGCTCGGGGGGAAGGAGATTATAAACATAAAAAAAAGTTTATGAACGTGGCAAAATAACTGCAAGTGCGTATATACGAAAGTACTTATACATATATTTCATTTGAAATTTATGTTCATATATATACATATACATATATACATATATGTTCAAATGTTGAGATTGAAACATTTGTACAAAAACACCTAATTGAATTGCTGCAACATCTGATGGACAGTTCCAATTTATTTTTGGCCACAAGCAAATAGACAAGCAATTGAGCAAATGGAAATTAGAACAAAATCGCCCTTCCAACATCAAGTACAGAACTAAAATGTTACGGATTCTATTAACGAAATCTACTGGGAGTAGCAAATACATATGTTGAACAATTCAAATTCGACACGCTAACTCATTTACGCCAATGATTTCAAATTTTTTGGTTGTGATGTGTAGCATCACAGAATCTCTGGTATTGCACTTTACAATTGCTAAACAATTAGTTACTAAATTAGCAGAGCAAAACTGAAGTGATATATAATTAAAGCCAAAACCTTTATTAACAGAATATAATAGTCTCAATACGTGCATAAAATATTAATTTTTCAGTTCAGTTCAATTCGATTTTTACTTCTAATCATCCATTCATAGTTAGTACAATGTGGCTTGCTCTTGGCATGAGGATAATAACGTTTATGTGTCAAATATAATTGATTTCAGTAAAATGACAATTGTTCCCTAAAGTAAAATAGAAACTAATTACAATAATTAACAAATTGAAATGCAATTTTACCTTGCAGTTCTTAAGTTTAGTATTTTGAACGAAGGTATGTGTAGTCCAGAAGAAAATGATTTTATTTATTTCTGAATTTGGATTTTTTGATCTAAAGAATAAACATTTCATGAAATACAAATACAATACAAATAAGTTAAGGTATCTGCTACTGGAGCATAGGGCCTCGTTATTATTATAGCCGAACTAGAAAACCTACTGTCCAAAACAGATTTAAACAGAAATGTCTAATTCATTAGTTCTATTAGTTTCTATTTGTTGCCTTTTCTGTATCGTTAAATGGATAATGTAATTTAATATTTTTAAATTGATTTTTAAATACTTACTTAGTTGCCCTTTACAGTCATGAGTTGTTTTTGGTCATGTCAAGTAACCTCTCCCATTAATGACATGCTCATTACTCTATTAATGACTTGCTCATTACTATTAATAATGAATGGCTTCAAATTATTTGCCAGTTGCTTCTTTCACGGATAATGTGGACGTCTTTTCCTTCAGCGGTTGCCGAATAAAAGCATGGGAAGCTACATAATTTTTACGTTATTTAACTATGTCGCAGTATAATACATAAAGCTGTACATTCTGTTAAAATTAATACTTGTATCGAATCATAGATCACGGAATCATAGATTTGACGTAGAATTTTTTTCTTAAATAGTTACTTTTGTAAAAGATCGTGTCAGATCTGTTGATAATCACTTCAAATATTTCATTACATACATCATAAGATCCGTCTGAAATCTCATTTTGTATTGAATATTTGGGAGATTTTAATGTTATATGGCTATACGAGGGCTGCCTTTTACGTCTAACAATTTGGTGCCAAATTGGGACCGTAATGCAGATGACTCATCAATTCATCTGCTTTACGTTTTTAGTGCCCAGAAACGCTTTGGAATGAGCTCATGTGTGGGAGCTCGCTTTGTCGTGGTGGAGGATAATCTTTCTTTAACGGTTGGTTTTCCTCAATTCTTCGAAGATTTCCGGAAAACAAATGGAATTAACTGTAAGGCAGCCTACATATAACATTTTTTATATAGCTGTAATCAGCCTTTTTATTATATTTGATAGGATATCCAAAATCAGATTTACCAGTATGGGAGCTCACATTGTCGTGGTTGAGGATGATTTTCTTTTCACGCTTGATTTTCCTTAATTCTTCTAAGACTTTTGGAAAACAAATGGTTGTGTAGCACTCAGAATTAACTGTAAAGCAGCCTACGTATAATACAGCCGTAGAATACCAAAATCAGCCTTTTTATTATATTTGATTGGATATCAAAATCAGACTTACCGGTATGAAGTGAGGAATACTTTTAGTCGTATTGTTGAAATCTGATTTGAAATCAGCAAAAAACAATAATTTGGTTATTGTTTAATATGTGGTGAATTTGGAAGGTTTTAAACGATACTGATAAACTCCAATTAGTTTATTGACGATTGACTTGAATCTCTCACAGAGTTTGTTCGGAACCATTTAATTTTAAATTTCGATTTAATAAGATTGGTAAAATCCAAAAAATTAAAACGTTTATTATTATTTTGTATTTTAATAAAAAAACGTTAATTATGTTAAAAATAACAATGCAATAAATTATAATAAACAATTTGGTTTATCTTTTCGCTTTTTAATTTTAAAAAGGCTGATATGCAAAAGTTGAACCTTCTGAAAAATTTACATATGGAGTAAGAACGCATAAGCGCACGCAGCAATACATATTTACACAGTTTTATTTTCATAAAAAAAAATTATGATAAAAATTTTATTAAATTATATTTTTTATCATAAAATTACCTCTTCTCGTATATTATCAAAAGATATCAAAATGATTTAAAACATTAAGTAACACGGCAAAATTTAATTTTGTTTTTCTTGCTTTTATTTCAGAAATGAAACATCTTCTGAGCGCAACAAACATTGAGAAAGTGAAAGTTAGTACTGTTAAATAAGAATAAAAACTAAGAGTTATAAAAAAATTTCAGTAATTTATATATATATTAAAAAAACCAAAGAATATAAAACAAGAATTTTATAAATATGAAATAAAAACTTGTGCTATTTAAACGCGATTGCCACAAAAATGTGCAACTCAAGACAGTTCCTGCCGACGTAGTAGGAAGCTCAAGCCAAATAAATGTGAAAAAATAAAATATAAAAGATATAAAAAATTTTGAAATAAACTTTGAAGCAAACAAACTTCAACTTCCAGTAATGGCGGAAAAGGACTTACGTGAACTTGTTGATATGTTAAGTGACACATCCGCGACAGATTTGGAAAACGTTTTTGCCAACTTTTCAACAGAAATGTTGCACCGTGCTAGTGATGCGTTCCAGAGTGGCACAAATTTCGCTACCGAGTTTCTACTTGCTGCTGATTCCTTCATCAACAACACACTGGAGAGAATTTGCTTGGAGCAACAGCAACGCGATGCAGAACAACATAAGCCAAATGACTCAGCTACCAATATCCGGCTACATGTAAGTAGAAACTGTAGTGGTAAATCCTTTTTATTTTATTATATTTACTTTTTTTTGGCTTTAAATCGCAACTATTATTCATTTACTACAAAGGATTTGCATATTATACCACATTTTGCTTAAAGGGAAAATATTTTTAGTTTGCTTTCTTTCAAATATGACGAATCCTCGTCAATATATACATCAATATAACAAAGAAAGAAAACTTTATATATATTTTTAATATCAATCAAAACTTTAAGAATGTCTGTAACAAACCATTAAATTCAAGGCTGAATAATAACTAAGAACTTTATGTTCCTTTTAATTATCCTCAGGATAAATTTATGTGCTCACACACGTGTTATAATTACATTAACCTTACAAAACTCAAACCGAAAATAAACTTGAAATGAAAAATAAACTTCAAGTACCAGAATTTATGCTTCAATTATATATATCCGTAGGATATACCATATTACAAACTTAAAGGGAAATAAAGCAAAAATATTTGGGCGAAATAATCATGAAACTTGTCCTTTTACGACATAACAAGATAATTTGGCATTGAACTAAAAAAAAATAAGATTTATCTTTTCCTCATGATAATTTTCTTTAACAAATAAAAAATTTATTAATTTTCTTCAAAAAAATATCAAATTTAGTTATATATTCACTCAAAAAAATAATTTGATTTATTTAACCAGATTTTAATTAAATCTCTGTTCAAAATATTCTTATTCGCCACATCATATTGGTTTAACCATACTACTTGTTGGTTTTCATATCTTCTTTATCACGTCAGCTAAAATGTCTCTAAAAAAATGATCAGGTCAGTTTTACTAGTATATGGTCAGAGCATATTTTAATTAGTCTGCGTAATATATAAGTTTGACAACGAGAAAACTCAAGCCCTATTTATAACTCGTAAACACATCCAGCATCTGCCGAGAGTGACAGTTGGTGACATTACGATTAATTGGGAGGACAGCATCAAATACCTATGAATCACGTTTGATAAGCGGTTTACTTGACACAAGCATATATGCTTATATATACAAGTCAAAAGAAGTAGTTGCCCATAAACACTGCACTGCTTAACCACTTTTCAAACACAATAAGCTTAGCGTAAATAACAAAAAGCTGATATACAGCCAGATAGCTATAGAAAGCTGCCAAGTCTACTATCCAGAAGCTGCAAGTTGCAAGTTGCTCAAAGTCAGACTCTCCGAAGACTCTTCAAAGTGTCTTGTTATACCCGCATAAATAACATGCTAAGAGACTTTAGAATATATTGATATTCAGATGTCTGAGTTGGTGAATCAGCACGTTTACTCTATTTTATCTGTGGACAGTTTTAAGTCACCCTAAAAACGGGGCTTTACGGGGCTTTATAATATGATGGATCTGATGTCTTTGTATCTGCCTGTGTTTATCAAATTTCGCTGTATTTTTAGGATACTGAGTGTTGGATTATTGTGACTGTCAATTGTATTGAACAGTTTCAGAGCACGATCATTAATGTATTTTTCAACTGAATAGATTCTTTTAAAAAATACATAAGGGACACAGCCCTGAAGCTATTAGCGAAAACTGACAGGCTGTCCTACTTAGCACCATCTAACCTCAAAATAATCTCTAGCCGCACGTGGTAGTACGCAGTAATACATAAGGATAATAGAATAATACATAATACATAATGAGGAATACATAAGTCAGTGAAAAGGTGGGACGCTGCAGAAACCTCCCAACTATCAAAGGGTAGAAGTGCTCAGATGCACTAACTCGAAAAAGACTACCTAAGATTGTAGAGTCAGCTTGCATTTTCAAAATACTTCAATCCATAATACTGGCATACAGAATATTTTTACAAGATTACTATCGTTCAGTGTTAATTTTATTAAAGTTGTGTGTTTTCAAATTATTCTTTAAAAATAAACATATATAAACGTTTTAAATATTTTCATACAACAAATATTATGTTTGTAAAAAACAAAAAAAAAACGCAGAATATACTATGGGTACGACATAATTCGAAGGCTAAGTAACAAGTTCCTTTCCGAAAGAAGACCATTATTCAGTAGACAGGGTTTAGTTTGTTACATTTTAAGACATTTTAAAATGCAGTACCTTCTAACTGCAAGATGTTTTTTTTTTTAATTTTCGATTATCTCCAAATTTATAAAGACTAATCAACAATATCATATTTTTTTTTTTTTAATCTCCGGATTAGCAGACAATTGAAATTTCTGTAATATTTCAGGCCATAATGATCCGTAATGAAACCCGTTATTTCATTACAAGATTCTCCTTTTGAGAATTTAAGAATGTTTTTGTTGAAGTATGGTTTGATCAGTATTTAGCTTTGTCTAACTCTGTCCTATTAGTTTTATACTGGTCCAGCTTAACCCACAAAAGGGTTGTGGACCTGTAAAAACAGTTTTTAATGCATTTCTCATCAGCTTGCTCATTACCTAGAACTTCCTGTGGCGCGGAACTTAATAAAGACTTATCGTATTCCGAGCAGCAAGTACTTGTAGGAGCTCAAAACACTTGTGGATCTGTTTTGACTTGAATGTCCAAGAAGTTAAAAACAATATCATCCTATTAATAGATTTTATAAATTATACTAGTATTATGAAATTATTTGTGTTAACATATAATTCAAAATATAAGTATTTATAAATAAAAAAGTTCAATTTTCCTGTTCTAGAGGAATATATCCAATCATATGAAAAATAAGCTATAATAATATAATTATAAGATATAAATAAAAATATAGCCTTTATAGATTATAAAGAGTTAATAGCTCCCTGATTCTGGTTTGGCAGCACTATTTCAGTAATATATGTCAAACAAATGTGTTATCCAAGAAATTATCTGTGTAGTTTAAGCTCTTTATCATTTTGCAACCAATACTTATTTTGAGTACATTTTAAGTTCAAAGATTTTAAAATTATTATTATTAATTCATATTATTAAAAAGTGCCTTTCTATTTTAATAGTCTGCGTTAGCAGCTGGCTGCCCCGTGTCATTTGATTCCGTACTTTGTTGGCCAAGAACACCACCTGGAAAATTGGCGGTTCTTCCATGTTTCGAAGAATTTAAAGGAGTTCACTATGATACCACACGTAAGTTAATAAAAATTGTAAATAATTAATGTATATATATTATATTTATGTAGTATATATATAATACATATTTAATATATTATTCATGTAGGTATACACATATAATAAATATTATTTAAATAATGCAAAATATTGCATTTATATTATAATATGTATATTATATACAAAGTTTCAACAAAGTAAAAATAAAGTTGTATTTTTTACCATATATCTTAGTAACTATTGAAAATGGGATCCTTTCCCTAGAACTTAAATATATTTTTGATTCTGAGATCAGTGTATTGCTGTTAGCACTTATCTTTTATTATTATTTTATTTTTTTTTTTGATGAATTGACTAAATTATTAACTGCGACTTGTATTCAGTTATTTATATAACAAACAATTCGTTCTTATTTATACTTAATACATTTAAGTGAACAAGTGTTATAAGTGTTGTTTGCAAAAATACATCTGTTCTATATACTTCTCTTGTAAATAATGAAAACAATGTAAATATTTTAACATAACAAAACTCGTACAATTTCATAACAAATTTGAGATAGTTTTAGAGAAAGATATTATTTACCTGGACACAAATACACAATATTTTATCATATATAAAGTGTGTTCTT